GGTGATGATGATGATGATGATGATGATGATTATGATGATGATGATGATGCCTGCTGCTGCTGCTGATGATGATGAGGAGGAGGAGGAGGATGATGATGATGATGAGGGAGGAGGAGGAGGAGGAGGAGGAGGAGGAGTAGGGTGGTGGAGGAGAAGGAGGAGGAGCAGAGGAGGAGGAGGAGCAGAGGAGGAAGATGAGGGAGGAGGAGGAGGAGGACGAAGGCAAGGAAGGGTGAGGCGGATGAGGAGGAGGATGTAGATGAGGAGGGGAGGAAGGAGGAGGAGGAGGAGAGCAGGAGGAGGAGGAGGCCGGAGGAGGAAGAATGAGGAGGAAGGAGGAGGCGGAGAGGAGAGGGAGGAGGAGGAAAGCGAGGAGGAGGAGGAAAGCGAGGAGGAGGCGGACCTTTTCCTGGGCGTCTGAACCCCTTCTTGGGGGCCGGCTTCTCCTCCCGAGTCCTTCTTGTGGCCCACCAAGGGGGCGCGGCGAGGGCCCCCTGCGGAGACCGGGGGGGGGGGGGGGGGGGAGCGTTCGCCGAGAGCCAGCCGCCGCGGGTTTGGTCTCTTGTTCACCTCCCTCTCCTCCTCCTCCTCCTCCTCCTCCTCCTCCTCCTCCTCCTCCCTCCCTCCTCCTCCTCCTCTCCTCCTCCTCCTCCCTCCTCCTCCCTCCTCCTACCCTCCTCCTCCTCCCTCCTCTCCTCCTCCTCTTCCTCCTCCTCCTCCTCCTCCTCCTCCCTCCTCCTCCTCCTCCTCCTCCTCCTCCGCCTCCTCCACCTCCTCCTCCCTCCTTCTCCTCCCCATCCTCCCCCTCCTTTCTCCTCTCCCTCCTCCTTCCTCTCCCCTCCTCCTCCTCCTCCTCCTCCTCCTCCTCCTCGGGCCACAGGGAGGGCCTACGTACAATGCTGCGGTGGAGGGGAACAGTTTCTGGACACTCCCCTGCCCCCCCGAACGCAACACTGGCAAGCGTGGGGAAGACTGCGGTTGGAGTGCAGCCCTTTTAGCCCACCGCCAACATTTATAACGGGGGGGTGCATTGTCAGATGAATGCGGCATGAGTGCTGGCTGATTTCTGACGAGGCCTGTGTCTGTCCACCACGTGGTGGCAAATAGCGACCCAAACACAGTACGCATGTTTTCAACATTTGTCGCCCAGAGAGCCGGCTGGGAGCGCATACGCTATGCAGTCAGAACGTGTATTAGGGACGGGTGGTAAGGACGCGAGACCCTTGGATGCCGAGGTTGGGATTCTTTGGGAGGCGGGCGACCAGTGAAAACGGCAAAGGACAGGCCCCAGAGGCAAGGACACAAGGGCACCCTAGATGAAGACGCGCGTCCTTATTATAGGTGCGCTGCCTGTACGTTGCCCTGAGTCGCTCCTGCGAAGCCCCACTGGACAGGGCCCAGATACCTCAGTGCATGTGGTCGTTTTCTTATTCCTTGCTTTGCCGGTCGGCGCGGGCCCTCGCACCCTTCCGCCCCCCCAAGGAGTAGATCTCGACTGTTTTTGGGCGCCTGTCTCAAGCAGGTGGAGTCTCCCCCGTGGGACACACTGCTGCAAAGAGTCGTATTCGGCAGAGGTCCAGAGCCAGACCCCCCCTTTTCCACCAATCGAAGAAGCGCCGAACCCTGAGATCCGACGTTGCAGCAAAAATGCAACATCGCAAACAATCACGCCTGAACCCCGGACCCCATCTTCCTGCGTCACTTTCTCGAGCTGGATCGATCTGTGAGGGTCCCGGGTCCCGAAGTGGCGCGAGCACGCCCGTTGTGAACACCTTGCAACGCCCGGATCTCAGGGAAGAAGGAGGGCGGGAAGGGGGCGGGAGGGGAGGGAGAGCGAGGAGGGAAGGAAAGAAGAAGAGCGGAGGAGGGAGGGAGGAAGGAGGAGGAGGAGGAGGAGGAGGAGGAGGAGGAGGAGGGGAGGAGAAGGAGAAGGGGGTCCACCACCTGAGCGCGGTTCCCAGTTTTGCTCGCGACGCGCAGGGGGTCGTCTGGGGCGGCCGCTGGGCCGCACCGACGCGCGCCCTCTGCGGCGGCCTCGGGGCCGGGGGCCTGTCCTCGGGGGCGTCGAAGAGGACGGGGGTGGCGAGGTGCTGGAGGAGGATGAGAGGAGGAGGAGGAGGAGGCGAGGGCGGAGGAGGAGGAGGAGGAGGACGACGAGGAAGAGCAGAGGAGGAGGAGAGGAGGAGGAGGAGGAGAGGAGGAGAAGGAGGATGAAGATGAGGAGAGGAGGAGGAGGAGGAGGAGGAGGAGGAGGAGGAGGAGGAAGAGGAAGAGCACGAGGAGGAGAGGGGAGAGAAGGAGGAGGAAGATGAGAAGGAGGAGGAGGAGGAAGAGGAGGAGGAGTTGGAGGAGGAGGAGGAGGAGAAGAAGAAGAAGAAGAAGGAGGAGAAGAAGGAGGAGGAGGAGGAGGGGAGAGTGTGCCTCACCTGGTCCTCAGCTCCCACGTCCCCTACACTCCCCCCCTGGTCGAGGAGGAGGAGGAGGAAGAGGAGGAGGAGAAGGAGGAGGAGGACTGGCAGATGGAGTCCCCAGGCCTCCCAAAAGTGGGTTCGAGTAGATGGGGTCGGAGGATCGCGCCGCATCGCCGATGCATCGTCGATGCGGCTCGGCGTGGAGCCCGTTTTTCTCCACGCCGACGTCGCCGATGCACCGCCGATACATCTGCGATGCTGTGCGATCCTCCGACCCCATCTCCTCGGACTCCGCCTGCAGTCGAAGAGGGGGGTGAGGTCCAGGCGGGGAGTGGGCCTCCACATCCGCTCGACGCGAAGCAGAAATCGACGGCGGGTCTTGGACGGGTTTCGTATGTTCTGGAGGCCTTCTTCGGGCCCCCGCGACGGCTCAGCATGACGTTCCCGGGGAAATGTCGCGACCTCCAGGTGACCACGTTGTGAGAAAACCGAGACGGACCAGACGGGGATGGGGGGGTCACCACCACCTTCTTGAGATCGAGGGTCTCAGGAGGAACAGTGATCGAGGATCGAGGAGTTTTTGGACGTTCTTCAGGGTCTCGTGTGGGGGTCCTGGGGGTTTCTGCGGGGCCCAGGGCGGCCCGTTTCCTGGAGTCGTGGGCGACCCCCTCAGATGGGTTTGATCTCATTCCAGGCCTCGCGAATGAGGTCCGAGTGGATGGGGCCAGAGGACCGCGCCGCATCGCCGATGCATCGGCGACGCCGTGCGGTGTGGAGCCAAAGATGTTTTTCCATCCCGACGCCGCCGATACGTTGCCGACGCTGCCGATGCATCGCCAGTGCATCGGCGATACGTCGCCGAGGCTGTGCGAACCTCCGGCCCCATCCACTTGGGGCTTTCCAAAAAGGGTCTTGCCTGCGAGGATTGAAGGAGATGCTATCCCTTCCTCGGCGGAAGACGGCGGGAGGGCGGCGGAAGGTCGGCGGGAGTGAAAACAAGGCCGCCTCCGCCGGCGGAAGCCGGCGGAAGGCTGGCGAAGCCTCGGCGGCTCAAAGACTGCGTTTGCCTCCACAGGGGAGCGGGGGGTCGCAAGTCCCTCCCTGGCCGCGCCAAGTTCCCGCGTCTGGCCATGGCAATCTCACGCGGAACGCCTGGTCTGGCTGGGCGCTACTAGCGGCTGTTACGCCAGCGAGGTGAGCGTGCAGGGGCAGCCCGACCCCTGCGGACAGCGAGTTCGAAGCAACGATTTTCGTACTGCTGGAAAGTATGGGCTAATGGGTGGCAAGAGGGCCCTCCGACGTGCAGCACGTCTGGTGGCGGTTGCGGGGACATGCTGGTATAAAGGCCGTCTTTACGATCGCACTAACGTTGCTACATTGACTACGTCGTTTTCGAGTCAAGCGTCGACCCCATCTTCTTTGCCTCACTTGTCATCCACAGCTGCACGGAAGAGTCGCATGTTTCCCCCTACCAGTCCTTTGAGTAGATCACGATCGGCCCAGCATATGAAAATCTGGAGTTACAATTGTGAGTCCTTGCAACGGGTTGACAGACTCAACGAGATCCTCCGCCTCGCCCGGAGCCACGACATTGCACTTGTCTGCCTGCAGAGCACCTTGATGACGTTGTCCACGCAGTGGAAAGCGGAGGGGTTCCTCATAGTCTCCACGCCCCGCACGGCGCCGAGGGCGAAGGACGGCTGCACGACGGCCATTAATCTTCGCTTCTTCCCTAAGCAGGAGCTCCGGTGTGTGCATGAATGGCAGGCCGGCCGCCTGATAGGACTCCGTTTGCGCCGCGAAGGGCCCCGGCCAAGAGACGTTTATGTGCTCAACGGCTACGCGCCGACGAACCAGCCGTCACATCACGTTGCCCACGGGACGGGGCCGATGAGGCTGAGGTCCGACAGGCGCACTTCCGCGCCCAAGATGTGTTCTGGCAGACGTGCGAATCGACGATTGCGAAGATCCCTAGGAGGTGCTCTCTTGTCTGGTGCCTCGACGCAAATGCGACCCTAGCGCCCAGTCTCCCCAACGTGGGTACAGCAGGAGCCCTACGAGTCCCCCAGCAGACAAATGGAAAGGGAGTGAAGTTTCTGGCGGTGCTGCAGGCGTCTGGTATGCTTGCGCTGAACAGTTTTGGCCCCCGGCACCGGTTCAATGGCACGTGGTGCCACACAGACGGGAAGTCGTGGTCGACGATCGATTATATTTGCGCTAGGATGCGAGGCGGGTGTGGGCTCAGAGCGTACCCATTACGACAGGCGGAGGTGAGCATGGGAGGGTATAGGGATCATCGCCCGGTGGAGGGGGTCATCTACGTCGGTCTGCGCTATAAAAAACGAGTGGCCCCATCGACCCCTTCGCTGGAATCGGGATCGTCTTTGGCTTGATTTTCTTGCTCTTCGTGAGGCAGGGCAGAAGGAAGGTTTACCCCCCCGAGTGGCTGAGCTTCGCAATCGCCTCGAAGTCGAATTGGCTGGTCGTGGGCTTAGAGGTGGTTGGGAAGCCGAATGTGGCCCAGGATGCCGCTACCCGTCTACTTCCGAGTATTTTGAGGCGTTAGAGGGGGCCCTCATCGACGCAGCGATGCCTCTGTATGCGACGTCCAGGGATCAGTTTTCACCTCCCGAGTTCAGTGCAGAGACGCTGGCTCTCATCAAGCATAAGCAGTACATCCAGAGGCTGACGGCCAATGCAGGTTCTGTCACTAGCTTCTTGGCCAAGTCATTGCAGTCCTCTTTTAACCAGGCCCACCTTGCAGCTAAACGTGCAGTGCGTGCAGAGAAACGACAACGCATAGCACGCCAGGTTGCAGAAGCGGAGAATGCCGAGGCTCGTCAAGATATTCGTCGGTGTTTCGCAATTGTGAAGCGCTTGGCGCCGAAGCCCCAGCTTCCAGTCCTTACCGTCCAGAATCCCCTCACTAAGGAGCTCTGCATGGATGATGCGGAGGATCTTCAGGTCAGAACTGCCGCTCTGTGTGATATTTTCGAAGCAGACGAAATTCCGATGGAGAACCCAGGAGGCCCGAGTGACCTGAACACCCCATCCGACGCGGGTGGGAGCATACACGGAGGAGGAGGTGAAGGAGATTATCTGGAAGTTACCTAACTTGCAGAGTGGACCAGTTCTTAAATGGCATGATCCTGCACACTGGGCCCCTGGAGTGCCGAGGCCGGAAGGGGAGGGAGCGGCGGCAGAATTGTGGAAATTATCAAGCCCGCTGGTGCGCGGCCCAGCCACTGCAGTTTTCAAGGCTTGCCAGGCGTTCGGCCGGGTCGCCCAGAGATTGAAGAATGGGGAAACAGTCAGCCTCAGAAAGCCCAAGGGGGACGGAACTAACGCCAGAGATCATTATCGCACTATCAACCTCATCGGCCATATGGGGAAGGGTTTCGTCAATGTTTTCGCCATGCCACCCCTCCGTAAGCTGGGTTCATCGATGTCTAACACAATTCGGGGCGCTGGCAGGCCGCTCGACGCGGGACGCCGTGGTCGTGGTCGACGAGATCCTTCGACGATTTCATTCGTCTGCCCGTGGGTCTAAGAAACGAGTTTTTTTTTTTTCTGGCGGCCGCACTCGTGGATTTGGAAAAAGCGTTTGATCTGATACCTCGAGACCAGTTGTGGCAAGCCCTGGAACAACTAGCTATAGATCGTGGCGTCTGGCTGTGTTTAGAGGAACTCCACAATGGGACATGTCATGTGATCAGGGACCCCCCGGCCAATTTACCGAGACGAAAATTGCTGGTAGGCAAGGGGGTCCGCCAGGGTTCGGTTGAGGGCCCGAGTCTTTTCATAGCGCTGTACGACATGATCACTTCTGAGGTTTTCGGGCTGAGGGAACAAGCTGGTTTTCTGGGGGTCCAGGCCATTTACGACAAAGATTTCCAGGTCTTGCGGTGCACAGACACGCTAGATGAAGCGACCCATGAGCTCTTAGATGTTTCGGAGGTGAAGTTCGTAGACGATTTGATCGCGATGACGGTGACGGACAGCTTCGAGGGTATCTCCGAGTTTTTGTTTTTCCTCCAGGCCGAAATTGAAAAGCGGGGCCTGCGTCCCAACATCCCCAAAACGGAGCTCATGGTTGGAATCGCCGGCCAGGGGTGCAAAAAACTACGGAGACAAGTCAAGAGTAAGCAAACAGGGGTGCATATGAAAAGCCGCGACGGTGCTCGATTCGATGTTCACGCACTTCCTCATGTCAAGTACTTGGGGGTCCGGCTCTCGGTGCAAGGAGCCATGCGGGAAGAAGTTGCGGCCCGGCTGCAAACCGCAAGTCTCGTTCACGGGCGTCTCTCGCAACGCATCTTCCGTGACAGTACGAGCACGAGATTGCGGGTAAGGTTGTGGTGCTCTCTAGTGCGCTCCATTGCATTATATGCTCTGGAAGTGGCCATCTTGACCCAAACAGAGGCCACCAGACTGGAGCGGTGGCAGAAAAGGCGGTTGCGACGCATGCTCCAGCCCCCCGCGCATCTCTATCGCGTTCCCAACGAGGGGATCAGACGGAAAGTGCAATTACATAGTGTGCAGTCCACGCTGTTGTTTCGCAGGCTAAAATGGCGGCAGCAGGTGATCAAGCCAGGTCTCGAAGATGATCCTCCAGAGTACGACCCCAGCAAAGCCGTGCGCGCAGTGGTATTCGGTCGTCTTTCCTTCGAGTCCCCCCACAAGCTCGTGGCTACTGCCCGCCTTAAGTTGTTGCTTGAAGATCTCCGGCTTTTCTGGCAGGCTGCGAGCGCCGAGTTCGCGCTGGAGCCCCGTCTTCTGGAGAACCGGCGCTCTCTCGTGAATGGCTTCAATGGCTAGTGGGAGTTTCTGTCCACGATTTGCAGGCCGTTCTACCTTTCTCAGCTCCGAGCGACGGTCGGCCCGGAGAGGAAGGCGGGAACCCAGACATCCCAGAACTCCCATGCCCAGACTGCGGCAAGCTCTGCAGGGGACAGAAAGGCCTCCTGAACCATCGTCTCAGCGCTCACGGAGTAGAGGGGAATATCTTGGGGTTGCCAGCCGAACACCTTAAGAGGAAGGAGTGCCCGCATTGCCACGCCCGGTTCACTCGTAAGGACACCCTCCAACGACACATCACGGCAGGTAGGTGCAGAGCTGTATTGGCCCAAGGTCCTGCAAGTGAACGTTCAGCACCGCCTCCTCCACCACCTCGTCCCGCTGCGCCCTCTCGAGCCGATGTTCGCGCCACTCGCCGACGTCGTGAAGAAGCGCCAGGCCGAGGAGGAGGCGGGGGGGGAGGATAAGGGCGAGGGCGGCGAGCAGGTCGTGGGAGGGAACCTCAACAAACTCGTGAACGCTCTCGCGCGCCTGGGCCTGCAGCACGAGGACACCATGCGCGGCCAGGCGAGGGACGACAACATTGTCATGACCCTTCGCACTTCGAACCAGATGGCTCAGGGGATGGAGGCGGGGGCGAAGTTCTACCAGAGCGAGGGAAAAAAACCAGGGAGGAGGCGGAGGAGGGGGAATACAAGGGCCATTCACATGGCAAAAAGCCGGATGCATACATGAAAATCGTCCTGTTCCGGCTGGCGGAGGCGATCAACGCGGGGCAGGAGCAGGTGGAGAGGGCGGCCGACCAGGGCATCGATCCCCCGAACGCCAAGCAGGCGCTGCAGTTGATCGTGAAGTGGGGGGAGCAGGTGAGCTCGAAGGAGTATGTCGTGCAAGCGACCCGGTGCTTCTACGTCCTGACCAAGGAATCTCCAGAGAGCGAGGTGGAATGCCATCGGTGGATTTTCGCCGTCAACTTTCACCCGGAGCTGCGCCAAGCGTTCCAGACGCTTCGCGAGAACGGCTGCCTGCAGGCTCTGAGCATCCAGTTAGGCAAGGATGCCGCGCCCCGCAGCCGCGCCGCCCAGGACGTGGAGCGGTTGGCGTTCCGTTCGGGCGGGGGGAAGGGGGGGGCCAATGCCAAGGCGAAGAAGAGGGCCCGCGCCAAGGCGTGAGAGCCGGCCCACCCACCCCAAGGTCACTCGACCCTCCCCCGGACGCCGTGCAACGAGGAACCAGGAGTAGGGGATCCGATCAGCGCTTAATCTCTTTTTTTTTTCGCTCGAGTTCGGGTGGCCAGTGAGTTTCTGGAGCGGGGCTCGCACTTGTCCGGCGTAGTCCCGTAGCCCTCCCAGGATCAGAGGATCTAGGGAGGCTACCCTCGCTGTGCCATCCTCGCAGGGGCGGGGGTGCGCGGGGGCAGGACGTTAGGCTCTATCTTCCAGCACTTTTATAGTGTAAGCTCGCCTGTCGTCCGCCTCACGTGTCTCCGTGGGCTCTCACATCGATTACAGATCCGATGGCGCCGCGATTGCGGTAGGCTTTCAGCTAGCCCTTCACAAGACCTCGAGAGCCTGACGTAGCAGGGGGTAGTGCGTCCAAAAAAGGAAGGCTGGCGGAATTAAAAGATGTGCCCCCAAGCGATGAACACGTTTTTGGGTTCAGGGTTTCCAGAATCCGCCATCTACTTGGACCACATGTGGGGGGTCTCCATCTATATGGCCCGGGCCACGAGATCTCCCTGGTCTCGCAGGTCTCTCTTTTCCTGTCTCCACACGCTCCCCAGCCCCCCGCTCGGATCCGCGCATGCGCCTCGGGCCACGATGCACACGGGCAAACGGGACCACCCCACCTGCGGCCCTCCCTGCTGCACCACGGCCCATCGGGCGCCGCAGCGTTTACCGCAGAACCCCACGCCACATCTCCTGGTATACGCTGAGCCCACTGGGGCCGTAGGCGGGGTCCTCCTCCACCTCCTCCTCCTCCTCGTCCTCCCTCCTCCCTCCGCCCTCCTCCCTCCCCCTCCTCCCGCCTCCTCGTTCTTCCTCCTTCCTCCCTCCTCCCTCCTCCTCCTCCTCCCTCCTCCCTCCTCCTCACTGCCTCCCTCCTCCTTCATCCCTCCTCCCTCCTCGTTCCTCCCTCCTCCCTTCTCCACCTCCTCCCTCCTACCCTCGTCTCACACATTCCTCCCTCCTCCCTCCTCCCTCCTCTCCTCCCCTCCTCCCTCCTCCCTCCGCCTCCTCCTCCTCCCTCCTCCCTCCTGCCTCCCCCTCCTCCCCCTCCTCCGCCTCCTCCTCCTCCTCCTCCTCCCTTCCCTCCCTCCCTCCCTCCCTCCCTCCTCCTCCGTCCCTCCTCCTTCTCCTCCTCCTCCTCCTCCTCCTCCCTCTCCTGCTCCTCCTGCTCCTCCTTGGTCTGGTCCACTCTTCCTGCCCCCCCCTCTCTGGCGCATCCGATGCCCGCGGGGCTGCCTGTGGAGCAGGCGCCGCGGGCACGTCGGCCAGCAGCCTGTGCAGCCTGTGCTGCCCCCTCCTCGCGCGGCGGGCCGGAGGGGCGAGCGGTCGCCGGGGGGAGGCCTCCAGGCGCCGCGGGTCAACCACGACCATGTGAGCGACGCAAACCCAGAGGTCCGACGCTCCAAACATATTGGAGCGGCGGGATTTTGGCCGCTTTCAGCTTCCTGGGGCCCTCGCCAGGCTTCGGGAGCGTCAAACAAGTGTTCAGGACGAAAAACTGGCCCCAGGGAAGTGGTCCAGAGCTCCGGGGCCCACGCATTCAAGACATTGGAGCGGCTGGATGTCTGGGAACGAACGGGGTCGTCTGCGCCGTCATTCACGCGTAAGCTGCCCGCGTAAGCTCGCGCGTAAGCGCCCTCGTCTCCAGTGTGGCGTGCCGTGCTGGCGGCCCGCGGAGGCCGCCGCGTAAGGTCGCCAGTCGCCAGGTCGTCTCGCTGAAGACCCGTTTGTGATCGTTGCTTATGCGTGTTTTGGCCACTACGGCGCCCCCTGGGGCCGTTGGCGGCCCCAGGAGCCATCAGGAGCGACCCGCGGCGAGGAGAGGACGTCCCAGGGATGGGGTCGAGAGTTCAGTGATGAGGCGGAGGCCTTCTCAGACATTAGCGGGGCTTCTCAGAACTCCCCCAGCCTTTTGACAAGTTTTCTATGTCTTCGGGGAAGGCTTAGACAACTTTTCAGAAAGCCATGGCGCTTCGAGCCTTCTGAAGAGGCCCGCCCCCTCAAACTTCCCCCCAGGCTTGGCGCCGATCCAAGGTTCCTCTTTACAAACCCCTGCACGAAATTAGTTGCATTCCGGGAAATTCCCTTTTGGAAGACAGCCGTCCCAGCATCTTCAATCGTGCCAAACACAATTCTTTGGACTCCAGCGCCGCGAATCCGCATGATTGCTGCGTCTTGGTAATCCTATCCTTGGTCGTGCCAGAACGCTGTTTCTGGGACATCAACACACGGAATCAATTTGAACGTTGCGTCCTGACACCATCTTTGGTCCTTGAAAGGCACGAGCCCTAGAAACTGCTGGGTGCTTTCAAGACGCATGTGCGCGGCGTTGAGGCGAGAGCCACATTTTGGAACGGTGCTGCCATCCATAAGTGAAGCTGCCGCAAACACTTAGAGACGAATGTGCAAGGCGCCAAGGCAATAACCACACTTTGAAAACCACCCGCCCTCAACCCGCAAATCCGCTGCAAACTTTTAAGACACGTGTGCGCGGTGCTGAGGCGAGACCCACATTTTGAACATGACCCGCCCTCCATCCGTGACGCTGCAATTTTTCAGACACATGTGCGCGGCGCGAGGGCGAACACCACATTCTGAGAACGCGCCCGGATGCTGAAAACAACCCAAACCAGCCGCTCCATTTTTTTGGAGCGTCGGATCTCTGGGTTCTGGATCATCTAGCAAAAGACAAGCTACGACACCGAACCATGCAACGGGGAATGGACGTCCGAGCGATGGCGAGCGTTTGGGTCGTGGCTTCGCTTGAGTCGGGCAAGCTCCCTTCCAGGAGGAGTATTCAAGAGTGGTAACAGAAATAGTCTCGTGACGGTTTTCCGATTCTTTGTTTGGACTACTCTTGAATTTTCTTCCTTCCAGAATTCGTTCATTGTCTATCTCTGATGTCTGAAAGACGTTTGATGATTTGGTGACCATCGTTGGGCATTTTGCGATCTGTTCTAGCTATGTTTCCAAAAGCCGCCTGTAGGAGGAGATGCACGACCTCGGGCCCCGGCCCGCCGCTTGTTTTCTCACCGCAGTCGGTATCGGTCCCCGCGCGGGTGTTAGAGGCAGAGGCCGGTCGCGGCGGCATCTGTGCGAAGGCCTGGAGGCCCGGAGGTTGACGCCAACACCAGCATCGGCGCTGCGCCTTCACCGAGGGAAGCTGCTCCCGATCTCGGTGATGGTGGTAATATTCGGGCTTTCTGATCTAGCCTCCTAGATGGGGTCGGTGCAGATGGGGTCCGAGGGTCGCGCCGCATCGCCGATGCATCGGCGCTGCATCGGCGATGCGGCTCGATGTGGGGCCCAGTTTTCTCCACGTCGACGTCGCCGATGCATCGCCGACGTCGCCAGTGCATTGCCGATGCATCGCCGATGCATCGGCGATGCGGCGGGATCCTCCGATCCCATCTGCTCGGACCCCTCCTGGGAGGCCTCCATCCGAGTGGCCGAACTAGTCCCACCAACACCAACATCTTGGAGTATCTTACCCCTGTGGAGGCACCCCCCCTGTGTTGCTGGTGTCCGTTTCCAGGCCTCCAAGACGAGGAGCGCGTCTTCCCCCCGCTGAGATCTCGCGGACCTCCGGGGAGGCCGCCTCGGCATGCCGCTCTCCGCAGCCGGTGGGTCCGCGCGGTGGTAGACAAGAGGCCAGCCAAAGCGGCATGGGCAAAGAGGAGCGCTTCTCCTCACGCTGCGAGCGCGCGGACCTCTGGGGAGCCTAGCTGCCTCGAAACGCAGCACATGCCGTGCTCAGCACGTCCGCGTCAACGGAGTGCGTGTTGGGTCGGCACGTGTTGGCCTACCCACGTTTTGGCGAACGTATCGCGTTAGACCTACGCGTCCAGTCTACGTGTGGAGCTCCGTGTCAATATGCCACGTGTCGCGTGTTGCGTATCGGGGCGGCTTAGCAGGGGAGGTTTGCAGAGGCCTGCTGAAGCCTGCAGAGGTCTCCGGGATTGACCAGAGGTCTCTGGGGGCCTCCGGACGCTTTCGGGTGCCCTTGGATGAGGAGGAGGAGGAGGACGAGGAGGAGGAGGAGGAGGAGGAGGAGGAGGAGGAGGAGGAGGAGGGAGGAGGAGGAGGAGGAGGAGGAGAGGAGGAGGAGGAGGAGGAGGAGGAGAAGGAGGAGGAGGAGGAGGATGAGGGGCAGGAGGAATAGGAGGCCTTCCGAGAAAGTCCGATGTCCCGCGGGTCTCCTCCCCCCGCGAGCGCTGCGAGCGAGTGGCAACAGTTGTGTGGGTGGGATTGCGTAGGAGTTGGCGCGGAAGCAGCACGGATCTGGAGCAGGACGGGATGAGGGTTCAACTTGGCTGGCATATTGCTCTATGAATGAAGGGGCAGGGCAAACATGAGGAGGAGGAGGAGAAGGAGGATGCGGAAGAGGAGGAGGAGGAGGAGGAGGAGGAGGAGGAGGAGGAGGAGGAGGTTGAGGAGGAGGAGGAGGAGTTGGATGACGAACGAACAGCACACACCCATACTCATAGGGAGAGTCGTTGGGAGGAGGACTGGCTATGGGTATGGGTGCGGGTTGTCGGACCCTGGGGAACGCTCCCGTTCGAGCGGGGACCCCCATCCGACAACACGCACCCATAGCCCTCTCTGACCCTCCAATGGGTATGGGTGTGTGTTGTTGGTTCGTCATTGGAGGAGGAAGAGCTGGGTGTGGGAGGGCGGGTGTGTGGCTGCTCTGTCGATGCTTCTGGCTTTCGCGACACTGTTCGTGCGAGTGAGACACGGCGTGCTGCTTCGGTCCTAGGTCCTACGAGGGAGGGGAGGGAGGGGGGAGGGAGGGATGGATGAGGAGGAGGAGGAGGAGGAGGAGGAGGAGGAGGAGGAGGAGGAGGAGAGTGGAGAGTGGAGAGTGGCAGGCCACCCATCCCTTCTGTTTACGCAAAGGCATCTATCCGCTGGGCGGGTGTCCACAGACATCGGCCGCGTGA